CTTTATTTGCAAACTCTGAGGTTGGACGCGGTGCCCGAGACGGACAGTGTCACGTTTCTCTCCCCCCACTTTCCCCTGGCTTCTGGGGTGCTCCAGCCTCTCCCCCCAGCCCACTCCCACCCAAACCCAAAATGCATAGGAGACTTCTCTCTCTCTCTTCCCCCCAGGCTGCGGGGTTCCACGGGGCCCATGCCTGGCAGGCCGGGCGTCGGGGGCTGGTGCTGGCTCCTCTGGGCCAGCCTGGGGAGGCAGCAGGGCAACAGTGCCTGTCAGGGACCCAGGCGGGGGCAAGGTCACTTTCTGAGCTGACAACTTCGGGTTGCAGCTGGCAGCCGGACCTGGGGTTTGGTGGGCATGGCCCTGGCACGGGAGAGCCAGGTCTATGGTGGGAGGTCCATGGACATGCTGCAGAGGACAGGGCCTTGGAGGGTCATGGCCAGGAGGCCCAGCACCATGGCTGAGGCTGGGCAGCGGTGCTGGGGGCAGGCGGCAGCTCTAAGCCGGGGGCTGCTGTCAGGGGTGGTGGGTCCCACGCAGGAGCCCTGCTGCTGGTCCAGTGTAGAGGATGGGGGACAGGAGGTGCAGTCCTTCAGGGAGCCGCCACGGCAGGTGTAGCAGGAGGAGTGGCAGCTGGAGCAGACCCTCAGCGCGAGCGCCGCTGTGTGCCCAGGCCTGGCAGTCACCAGCCTTGTGTGGTTGAAGAACCGCGGGGGGCAGTAGGCCAGGCAGAGCCGTCCCAGGATGTAGGCGGGGCCGTCACATACTGCTCAGGGACACGGATGCAAAGACCCGTGAGCTCACCACCCGCGGCCTGTTGCCCGCCACCCGCCTGCCCGGGGCCACATGCACGCTGCCCACAGTGGCCACCGCCACCTCCCATCTGTGGGCCCTGCAGCACCGGCACTCACCCTGGCACAGCCCCTCAGTGTCCCGCTGCACACACGCGCTGCTGGTCACCTGGGGGCCTGTAGGCCGCGCTGTCATGTCCTCGGCTGTCCCATAGAGCAGCAGCGTGTAGCGGTACAACATCCCTGGGCAGGGGTCGCGGGTGGGCACAGGAGGAGGAGGAGGCTCTTGGCGGCCTGGTCCTGGTAGTTCCCGGGCTCCCTCTCCTGCAGCTCCCACCCGGGGCCCCAGACTGGTCCACATGTCTCAGGGAATTGCACGCCTACTGTGCACCTGTCACTGGACACCGAAATCTCCCGGGTGACAACACACCTACTGTGCATCTGTCACTGCACACCTACTGTGTGCCTGTCACTGCACACCATCTCCCGGGTGACTGCATGCCTACTGTGTGCGTGTTCTCTTGGAGAAGGCCACTGGGAACCCCTTGTGCAGTGGGGTCACCAAGGCTAACTCCGGAGCCCCTGGGGGGAGGTTGGAGAGCCAAGCCCCGCCCACCACGGTCCTGCCCCGCCCACCACAGGCCCGCCCCGCCCTCACCCGTGTTGAAATAGTAGCCCTTGTTCTCCAGGCCCAGGGTCCACACGCCTTGTGGGTTCTCATCCCAGAAGTGGGTGGACATGAAGACCCAGTTGTTGTAGCCTTCAGTGCTGACATCCAAGGGTCTGCGACAGAAGGGCGGGCGGGGGTGGGGGTGTCAAGAGGGATGGCTTTGTGAAGCCCGCAGAGCCCCACCAAGTGTCTGATCGCACGTGCTGGTGGCCGGGCGTCCTCTGGGTGTGGGTGGGGGCGTGACTCGGGGGTCCCATCCACTAGGCTGCCGTGTGACTCCTGTGGGCCTGGCCCCTCGCCGTGAGGACACTCCCGGTAGATGGCAGCGTTTACCCACAGGGCGTGAGGCCGCCCCTCCCCTCTGCGGGCCGCTCACCGTATGGCCACGAGTGTGGAGCGCGTGCCCATGGGGCTGGTGAGTGAGATCTCCAGGTCTCCGCGCCGGCTGTAGGACAGCGTCAGCTGCGCCTGCACGTGCTCCAGCGAGCGGATGGAGTTGTGGCGGCCGGCGCAGGCCGACACGTTTTTCCTGATGTAGATCAGCGGCAGGATGGGGCTGGGGGGGTCGAGGGGTGAGGACCCTCCTGCGGCCTGCTTGGGGGTGGGGGGGCGGCCAGCAGGCGAGGTCGGGGCTCAGAGGTCACGGGGTCCAGCCCTCGTTTTACAGATGGGTAAACTGAGGCCTCAGGCCTGTCCCCCACACCCCCAGCGGTGATAG